GATAATGGTTAAAGTATTATTGGCTCATTGGCTTACTATACTGAAATTGGGCATCCTTATGTTACACTTTAATATTTGTATTAACTTACTTAGGTATTAAATTGTAAGAAATAATTGTTAAAGTTATTAAAAACACTTAATTTTTTTCAATAAAAAAAATCAAAAAAACAAATGTCAAAAGAGTAGATGATACATGGCATCCTCTCATGATTTGGGTTTAGAAAAATCTTAAAATATTATATAATTGGAATTATAATTTTTGGTGGATATAAAAAAATAATAATAATGGTTAAAGTATTATTGGCTCATTGGCTTATTATAGTGAAATTGGTCATCCTTATGTTACATTTTAATATTTGGAATTAATTTACATTAGACTTACCTATTAAATTGTAAGAATTAATTGTTAAAGTTATTAAAAACACTTAATTTTTTTTTCAATAAAAAAATCAAAAAGATAAATGTCAAAAGAGTAGATGACACATGACATCCTCTCATGATTTGAGTTAAGAAAAACATTAAAATATTATCAAAAACACAAATGTCAAAAGAGTAGATGACACATGGTATCCTCTCATGATTTAAGTTTAAAAAAACCTTAAAATATTATATAAGATGTTGAATTGCTTAGTAAAACTTGAATTTTTGGTGTAAGCATAATCTTAGAAAAAAGTCTTGTTCAACTTTTTTTTTTCAACTTTTTCTTAAGTAATGGATCAATAAATTCAAAAACACTTTTGCCTTCGTAGGCTTTGTAATTAGATTTAACTTCACATAAATCCTGATTTTCAATGGAAATTTAAAGCGAGTGAAAGACAGAAAGAAAATGTATAGATAGAACCTAAAAAAATAAGATTCGACACATGTAAAAATAAAATCATCTATAAAATAAAATCTTGATATAATCAATTTAGGACTTTAGATCTTTAACATCAAACATTCATATCCATAATTTTATCAAATTCATTCCAAACACAAACTACTGAAGTTTTTTTTCTTCTATATATTTTATATTCATTCAACTACAAATAGTTTTGATAATGTCTTCAAAATGCTTCTTCTCATGGATAATAAGATGTCCAGCTTCAGGGACTTCATGAAGCTTTATCCATGGAAGTTTATCGCATAGATAGAGTAAAACATCGCGTGAAATTTGTTTGTCTTCTAGTGCACACCAAATGTGAACTGACCCTTTGTTATCATCGGAAAATGGATTGCTCAGTTCCGTTGGATCAAACTCCCAATTATCATAACCCGCAACGATGTCTCGTTGCATGCTCACATATTCACCTTGTCGTAAAGCGGATTCCTGGACCACATAAATTAATAGCTTTCATGAGTTTTTCATTTAAAGAAAATGGACTATCAAGTTCATTAATTTTATAAGAAAAATTGTCTAAAACTACAACATACAAGTATATAACTAGTTATAAAACTATAAAACACGGTCTGTCTAAGACTATAAATAGTTATAAAATCAATCTAAAACTAAACAAGCTTATAAAATTAATGAGCCTAGAGATGCGTACCTTGATAAAGTGGTGTTTTGTATGTTTATCCGCGAGTTCTATGTCGCGTTCGGTCATAGTTTCTCTGGGATTTTGGCTAAACGGCGAGAACCATTTCTGAGTCATCCACCAATATAGCAACCATGGGAAGTAGTGTGCGACTCGAAGTGTCCATTGATTTTGAATTGGAAATTTTTTGAGTGCTGATCTCGACAAGTTTTGTGGGAGACTCCACCAAAAGTTTAGTAACGGAACCACCAACGTTGCTCCACTTAGTCTATATAGAGACAAATGGGCTTAATGTCTCATCACGCTTTCGATACGAAATGTTTCTAATATGATCTTAATTTTAAATATGCAATAATATTGGTCAGTCCACGCTATTTTAAAAAAATCAACTCAGCCTTATATAGAGTTCAAGTGAAATATTAGGCCAATGATATTTTATGTAAATTCGGATGTAAACAAAAGGCAGTTTCCATAAATATATTTTTAAGTGACAATCAATCGCGATAACGAATCAAAAATGTTATTTGTAGATATACTAATATTTAAGAGATTGATATGTTACCTATGAGGAATGTATTTGAGACAGCCGTAAACTGGGTATGCCCCGAGTGACATCCCTAGAACGTGAAACTTTGGACCGATTTGCAATTTGTCAGCGAGTTCTTCGATATCGTATGTATCAGTCTTTATCGTTCGTGATGGATGATAATCGCTTTCGCCATAACCAGCTCTATCGAAAAGCAAGAAGTATATCTTGAATTCGTCGATCAGGTCCTGGAAGCAATGGGAGCATTGTAGTCCAATTATTATGACATGAAACAATCTTGAAAAAACAGTTTTTTTTTTTTTTTATATATCATTGTTCTTAGAAGAGAGTTTGCAATATAATCATAATATTAATACCTGTGTGATTTTTAAGTCCACTAACTTGGAACTTCCATATCCGTGAAGAATGATTATTTTATTTTTGGCTTTGTCTTTGGGAAACCCTAATTCTCTGTAGGCTAAATATCTGCCATCATTGAGCTTGATTCTTGGACATATCTCAGAAACATTCTCCGGCAATGGAATCGGCCGGGGCGGTTTTATGGACTTGTAGACATAAAAGGCTAATAAAGAGACACCCGCAACTAGAAACAACATCATTTTTCCTGTAAATTGCAAAAATTTAGGACGTCATATAAATCTTTCAATGCCTATAAGACAAAGTAACAATAGTCATCTCATCATCGTCAACGTTTTAGTTCTTTCCCGAAAACAAAATTAAAATTTCTTTTAGGAACACGAATGAAGAATTTTTAGAGAGAAAACTGACCTGATGATTTGAGAGATGGCTAGGTAATGTGAAACCTTTTAGTGATGATGATGTTGCTGGCCAAAGCAACTTACCAATACTTATACTAACGAAAAGACAATGGCTAAGACTAATCAAGCAAATTGGATTTGAACAAAAGATGGAAAGAAAGAAGATATTATATGTTAAAATATATTGATCATCATCTAAAATGAGACGCGTAAGATATCAATATGACACACGTTATTTTTTCTTACTTTTTAAGCAACTGATATCTATCTATGCATTTGTAGATTACTGCTTGTATGGAAAAAATTAATAAATAACTGAATTGCATTTAATTATATTTGTATGTTTTGTTAGATCACCATTAGGGATTAATACACGTTACACGTATGTATGGATATGAACAGGATCACCATTGATGTTTGACAATATGAATAAAATATTTCCCATATATTTTTATTTCATGTGGTGGATTTGTTTCTAAATTTCATAAGACGTACAATGTATGTAGTTTTAGAACGAACGTATATGCGTAGAACTATGTATACATTGCATTTATATTTGTTGTTTCTAAAACCATTAAGTAAAATACGACGTATATCGGTATATAATTGGTATTATATACTTGATTAACTATCGCTTTAGAACTCAGAAGAATCTTCTAAAATAATATTCTGTTACGAAATTAAAATTAAATCATATTACAATTATTATAGAATCTATTGTTTGTAACCATTAATGCTAGTGATTAAATTAATACTCCTAGTTAGTAATACATAAATTATTTACTCATAATGATGATATGTACTAGTGCCACCACCGTATATAATAACTTATTCAAATTTGTTTACCAAAAAAAACAAAAAGAACTTATTCAAATTTTTGTGAGTATGCAAACCATAATGTTATACATATATGACAAGAAAATTTGGGAAGTTTATAGTTTCAATTTTTATACTAAGGTTATATACGACCAAAAAAAAAGTTTATACCCAATGATGAATTATTTTTAAAGTAATAACATGTGTTTGCGATTTTCTTATCAACATGAAATGCATCAAATGTATAGTTGATTATAAATTACTAAACGAGAACTCTAATTAAATAGTTGTATCCATCTTATTAACTAATCATAAGTATTTACTCCATAGTCAATATAATTGCGTCACTTTTCTTCATTATCATGTACTTCCCACTACAAACATGCCATACGGAATGTATTTGTAAGAATGTTATTAGCGTTATGAATATTGATATAAGCGTCTATACGGGTCCATTAATTTAAATGTAAAAAACTTGTAGTATTAATCTTCAATCAAGAGGGAAGGAAAGAGTCATTTATCAAGAAACACAAAATAGTGGAATTTAAAAGAGCAAAATTATTTAAAGTCCATGGTGGAAAAGACTAAGCTGCAAAAATAAAAACAAATAGACATCATTTATTTTTTCTTCAGAGACTCTTACTGTGACTCTGTTTTGCCACCAAAGAGTATAAAATCACGATGAGTCTTCCATGAGAGAGGGAAGAAGACTTGTTATTCACAGGTCCTCGGGACCATTGATGTCCTGTCAACAACACATTGTGGAAATTTTTAGTCTTGCATCCCCAAAACAACTTAAGTTTAAACTTAGGATGTGGAATGCCAATTCGATACGCTACCTTGTTCTCGACCACAGCCCCGTTCGGAATCTCAAGCTTCACCCCGGATTTCGCCGTCACAGTCACCTTGCCCTTCAAAAACCCAACAACCAAAGTAATGTGTTATGGATTATAGACATATCAACATACATTAGATGTATAGATAGATACTATACCTTGAGAACAATGGAAGAGCCAAACCAGACATCACCAGACACCTTGAGGCTGTCGAGCTCAACGATACTTGGGATGGATTTGAATCGGCTCAAGAAGTTAGCCACCTGTTTCAAATATACACTAATAAGTGAGGCTCAAGAGTCATTGAGACAATGTTTAGATACACACAAAGAGACTTATCAAGAGATCTTTTTATACTTTACCTTCTTGAACTCGGGTCCCAATTCAATTGATGGGTTCGAGGGGTTAGTTCTAGCTTTGTTTCGGGTGACAAAGCCATCAACTAGAGTGTAGAGATCAGACTGTGGAAGAATAAAATTTTAAATCATTAGTCAAACTGTTTCGAAAGATGTCTGTGTTACTCTGTTTCACTGTTAAATCTGGTGAAGAATGTTTACCTGGACGAGCAGCAAGTCTGAAGTTGCCTTCACTGGCAAGAACCGTGAGCGAGGTACATTAACACCGATAGCATTGTCAAAGAACTGTTTTGAGACAAAATCGCACCAAAAAAAAGGTCAGAAGAAGATTAATGTTTGTGCACTATATTCTAAATTCTGCCACTAGGACATGCATATTACCCTTATTGCAGCACCAGCTGCAGTTTCCAATTGAAGAACTTTGACTCCATCGACTTCCTGAATAGAATTTTCAGCCTTTTCTGGTTAGATTGTGAAACTTGCAAAAAAAAGAAGATAATATGCGATAGTCCACGCAGGCACCTTTGGGTTTGGAATGATCTCCATCTTAAGTGCATCAGCCTCCACAAGCTTTTTGATGGCCTTCAAGTTAACCCATCTGTAAACTTACACATTTAGTGTCTACAAATAAAGTTTGTCTTCCGAAAATTTTAGAGACATGATTTACTTACAGGTTGTTTGTGTTAAATATCTTGAACTTCTCAATTGATTTGAACTCATTGACCTACCACAAGGATCAAAATACGAGAGCGGTAACTCTTTTAAACAGGTGATACAAGTGGAAGAAATCAGAAAAAAGGCACAAACAAAAGTCTACAGTTTCCCCTCCATGAGAACAAATCTAATGCGGAGGGTAAAAAGGGCTTTGAAGAACTTCTAAGAAATTATTCTGAAATCTAAGCTCGTTTTTCCAACTCTCCCCCAAATCTCTAAAGAATATGCTACAAGAGTTTCCAACAATGTCTACAAAAACTGAAATGCAAATGGAAGGAAGGAAAACAAAGAAGAGGTCTAGACTTACATGTTCATCAGGAACCTGAGCAATCTCCAAAAGCTGAGATAAACCAAAAAAGTCAATATTAGAGGTCAAGAAAACAACTTCTGTTCTTCCGTGGCACAAGTAAATTGAAGCAGTGAGAAGATCATGAGTTGGAAAGATGTTGTGAAAAAAAACATCATACACATATATAGCGATATTCTACTGTTTTCTTTCTTTCTTTAGGTGAAAATGCATTTACAGAATCCAAAAAGAATACAGAAGGTACACCTTAACAAGAAGTTACACAATTAAGAACTTACCTGTACTTTGCCTTCATAAGAAATGAGAGTACCTCCCTTTACATCAGCTAAGGTTTTGGGTGTAACTTCCATACAGTACTCGTTCTTGTTCAGGATCAAGTGCTTCAGGATTTCTGAAGCAATTAGACAAAGGACGAGGCAAGCAAGACAGTTAGTCTAGGATTTTCATGTAAAATTTTCTCTGACTAACTGTATAAAACTGTGTAAACAAGAACTAGCAAACTATGAAGAAGACATACTCAAGTCAACGATGGCACCCAAGTTGTCTGAATTGGCAACGAACACATATTCCTTACCCTGCGAGACCCAGAAAACCAAATTATCAATAAATATGGACATTAAGCTTAAATGCTGCGGAAAACAGTAGTCGGCTGCAATAAAGAAAGAACCTGTGATATGAAATCATCGAGCTTTCCACTGTTCTTGAGGGATGGGAACACATCACCATGACCAGGAGGATACCTTCACAAAGATAGCACAAGGCCTTACAAGTTCAGTTCAGTTATGATACTTCATCACGTATGGAGATTAACCAGTTCTAACTTGCATAAGAAGATCTAACATAATATGAACAGAAACAATAACCATCTAACGTATCGAGATTTAAGTAAACATGAATAATGTTTTGAGTGAGTCTATTCCCTGTTGCAGTTCAGTATTTAAAGTGCAGAATAAAAAATTCAATAGTTTTGATGCGGTTGAAAAACTTGAGTGATAATAAAGCACAAGAAGGCTGAACAAAATAACTAATATGTAAAAGCCAGTGGATACTACTGTCTATTTTGAAATTATACCAGCCATCCTTGTCGGTCTTTCCCTTGCTGGGCCATGGCACAAACTCATCTGCAACAACACGGGGATATTTGCTCTAGAAAATCCGAGTAAACATTATTAGTTGCAGATCTGATGTCAATTTTTTCGTACAAATCAGTTTTTAATTTGTTAATATGTAAATAACAAACCTGGTTAAAAGTGTGAATGTCAACATTTGAGTTGGTGTACTTTTCCACAATCTGAATATGAGAAAGACAGTCAGCCGAAAAGAATAACATAATAAAGAAACGTGATTGACAGTGACATAGAAGTACCTTTTGTGTGTCATCGTGTGTATTAAACGAGTTCATGAGAACCAACGGAACCTTGCAACCATACTTCTTGTTGAGATTCTGTGAATGAGCAAATATATTGGGCATTAAGATTAGGAAACATTAAGGAGGTAGTAGAGCAGAGTAATAAAGAAAATGACGAACCTCAATCTGGATAACAATCAGATCAAGAAACGTCAAACCATCACGAACTTCAATAACCGACCTGCACAGAAAAAGTAAGATATAATTTCTTCACTTCCTGAATGTTGGAATGAACACTACATGACTGCTATACCAAAAGTTTTACAAGGAGTTGTTCCCTAGCTTCATTTTGAACATTACGTCCACTAGAAATGAAAACAAATTATACTGTCGAACAAGATAGTAGTCAACCAAAAAGTCCACAGTGGGAAAAGTACCCAGAAAGAAAAAAAGGCAAAAGAAAATTCCATATTCAACACTGAACTTGAAATCTCAAAGTGACTAAAGCAACTTATTG